GTTTAGGCAACAAAACGACTTGGTTAGGTTTAGGAAAAGATCATTGTTTCAGTTACTGAAGTACACCTGACAAATAAACGACATTGACTTCTCACACAGGCTGAAGCACATCTCCTGCTCAAAGATCGTTGTTTGTTGGACCCACGCTCCTCCCGTCCCTCCCGCCCGTGTCTGCTTTTATACTTAGTCATTTATGATTACGTGGATAACATACAAGATAATCTACGAATTACAGCACATTATTTTTTTGTAGCTGTTTGCTACAAATGCCGGATGAGACCATCCTGAATCACTGAGATTGAGATCTTTTAACACACCAAACCCCAAACTATAATATAGCATAGTCACAATTTGGTATGATGTAGTATAGCCCACTACGAGCATACTGGTAACCTACAGTACGAGCATGATTTGAAACGTTAGGAGCTGTGATGGCACCGTTAAATTGATTATGATTGCACAAATCACAAATCCTCATTATCACCAGCCAACTGTAGAGCACCACATTCATTCAGCTCACAGATTCAGCAGCATTTACTCAGTAGTTAGTGTCTTGATTGATACATGGTTGATAATTTGACACTAATTTGCATTGTTTTATGCACATTAACAAAATCAACTTGTAATTTAAGTCATGGCGTGACTAGACGCGTATCACTTCATAATCTGTCCTGCTTGTTTCTGAGGTATTATGTTCATGTTTTCTTCTTCAGATAAAAGAAGCAGTTGTTTGTCTCTGCTGTCTCTGCTGCTGTCTCCCCCTTCACTTCATCCCTCATTAAATATGGAAGGAAGAGTGTAGAGGAGACATTTCTTTTTTAATACAATGGAATTAAGAGGGTGAGTACTTAAAGCTTTCATGCTCCAGATGAACTGACACAAGCTCACTGTGAAGCAAGCAAGTGATGAATTGGACTTTGTATCGTTGTTTCTCTCTGGTCACTTTCTTTTCTGCTATTGTCTTTTGTATTGTCTTTACCAGCTGAGTGGATGCAGTGGACCACCAGGGACGAAAGAAGTCAAGAAGTTGATTTGCTGGCCCGCTCCTCCTCCCCAGGTACAGTAGTCTCACCCCGTATGCTTTATGAGGCAGTTTATTGACCTTGGTGCCACTCTGTTTTATATAGCTTCTAAACTGGTAGTTCTCTTTTCCTATACAGAACTTCTTCAACATAAACGGCCATCAAAGTCACTGAGAAGAACCTTTAACTGTTTGTGAAACAGTCTCAATGTAATACTGATGCCTCTATATGACCTACATAAGTAAAGAAGACCATCAGCTCAAAGATTCTCTATTTCTAAAACATTATGTCCACGTAAAATTTCGACGAAACGATTTACAGAAAGCAGTTTCATCTGAAACTCTTACAGCTCAGACTCCAGCGGGGGCCTCCAGCAGGGGGCCTCCAGCGGGGGCCTCCAGCAGCAACCAGCCCGCCGTTGATACACCAAGGAGCGCAAACACCTGTGCGGGCGTTCGGGTCAGGTGACCATGGTCTGATATGACCGATTTACACATAAGCAGCAAACAATATGGTGCGTCCAAAAGGCCTTTTCCCACAGACGTGTCAGACACTTTGTCATGCCCCAGAGGAAAAGCCACAGGTGTGAATAATGACATTTAAGACGGCTGAATGCCAGGTAGCTGCTTCAGTGCTCCGGCTGTCGCACAATCAGGACTAAATGTTATTCGTAACATCTGTGTTTTTACTACAGTCAGGGGATGTCGATGGGAGACGTGTGCATGGTTTGCATCTGGAAATGGGACGGAGTGCAAGATATCCAAGGTAAGGTGAGCCAAAACGTGCTCGTTAATGCTTGTACTCGAATGCGGGGCCACCAGAAGGGCCCTGCTTGAGAAATGTACATTTCAGCCCGACATATTTAAACATGGTTTGAATCTGTCTCGTGACCTCTGTGCCACGCCCCCTGACCTTTCATGTCTGTGAAAAAAATGTCAAATTAGGCTTAAAGGAAGCTTCCACCACCAACATTCAATATGAAAATAAACCCCCAGAAACAACAGCGTCGCCTGTGCTCGCATTCCGTCTGATGCTGGAATAACTGAACATCGTCTTTTATGTGATGTCTCTCGGTGCCTCTCTCCTCCTCCGCCTTGATACGATTTAATGACAACCATGTTTGTTTGTCATCGAGGAATCTCTCACCGCCGCCCGCTCTCATTTACATAATTGTCCAGCGCTCACGTGTCCGGGACTCGTGGGATGCATCGCATCATTTATCTGCATGAGAGCGAGGGGGAGTCACTGCTGCTGCAGGCAATACCCTGTTCTTTAAGTAACATTTAATTCACCGAGATGTAGTGTGTGTGTGTGTGTGTGTGTGTGTGTGTGTTTGTGAGTGTGTACAAGCACTTTGGCGTTGAGATGTATAGTGCAGCACTGAGGTCATTGTGGGGTCATTTCAGCCAATCTCTTCTCTGTCCTCTGGTATTTTATTTACTAGCAGAGACTTACTGCCAGACTTTTCTCTACGCTCTGATATTTAATGAGGCGATGAAGAGAAACAGAGGTGTCTTTACTTGCACCCAGGAATTATTTCAAGTATATTAACATACCATATATACTGTATATGTCATACATCAATAAATGTACCGTTTGAGTAGATTAAAGCCCAAGTGCCTGTGGTGGGAAGCGGTAGGGTTTCCGAGCACCAGAGCCTCTTTGGAAAAGCTCTCACCTTACTGCGGCAGAGTCTTACAGTCCTGGTTCTGGTTCTGTTACGTACAAGGTAACACTGTAAACTCACCAGGTTCTTGTTTTTGCTCATGCGTCTGTGTTTGTTCTTATTTTGTGGTTTTCGATATGACTTGTGTTTATTCTCTGTCTCTGTTTTGTATCATTTTATTACTGTTCAAAATTTAAAAAAATATATATTGAAAATACAAAAGTAGAAAGTATTGTAGGCTAAGCAAACACCTCCAAGTGTAAAATTCAGGTGAAATTAACTGAAAGTGTTTTTGTTTGAATGTTTTTTGTTTTATTATATTGGCCCTCTCAATACAGCATTATTCAGCGTATTGAATGCATATTTCAGCAGAAACAGAAGTTGTCTCAGATTATATCAGGATTTTATGCACTGCTAGACCACTGAACGAGAAGCAGAAGTGGGCTCTCTGTAAACGTGTGTGGTGTCTGAAGGAGGTGGTGTACGCTACGCTGGCGTCCCAGCTCTGCGAGGTCGATTCAGCACAGCGAGTCTATGCAGAGACTGATTGACGGACTGTATTTCCTGCCTGCTTGGTCAGCAGTTCTCTGCAGTCTAAAGCGTGGCACGCCGGCTAAGTAATTGGCCCCTGCTCGATATTCAGATGAATGCCCCCTCCCCCTCTCTCTCCCTCTGCAAACGCTCCACTGCACCACTGACTTCAGTTATTGGGTTAACTCAGGAAATGCACAAATATGGAACCTGCTAATATCCAGATATTAAGAGTGTCAGGTATGATAATGGTTAATGTGATATGACTAATAAAAACAAGGAGGAGACGAAGATGTCTCATGTCTGTTTGTAAAAAATTCACAAAATTTTAAGACCATTGATTCGTGTACAAGGACACCAATTTGTTCTTGTGTGACTCAGCGGGAATGTTAATTAGGATTCTTTTCCCGTGGTGTAGCAAAGACTAGAAGTGGACATTGTCATCGTGACGTCACCCGTTGGTTTGTGGACACGGTAGTTACCATATTTGGACTACGGAGGAGAGACGTAGAGACGCTGTATAACGGATCTGGTAGCTGTAGCGAACTGTCAATCACAGTAGCCCCGCCCTAAAGCATACTCTGCTTTATGGTCTGTTTGACTCTAAATGGACCATAATGTACTAAATGAACATCATGCTGTATTGAAGAAGACTTGAAACTAGAGATTGAGACCATAAACTCATGTTTACAATGTTTACTGAGGTAATAAATCAAGAGAGAAGTAGAGTCATTTTCTCATAGACTTCTATACAACGAGAGGAGTCGCCCCCTGGTGGACATTAGAGAGAATGCAAGTGTTAAGACACTTTTGCATTGGTTTCACTCTTTAGAACCCGAGGCTGTCACCTGGTGGACACAAATTAAACCCATCCATGTGACTGTGCAACGGTCAGAGCTGGTGACGTAGTTTTAAATAGTGAGGAAGACGAGACCGCTGTTTGAGAGTGTTGTTGTGAAGTGACGTGTTCAGGGCGGTTTTCCTAAACCTAACTGGTTTTGTTCCCTGTGTGCATGTACAAAAATAACTAGATTACAACTTTGTGACTATTTTGTAAACTGCCTCGAGACTGTGTTGTTTTATTCGCTTTGTATTCTTCTTCTTCCACTTCAGTTTCTCTTCCTTTTTTTTGAGGCCACTCCACCTCCATTTCTTTAATGTCGTCCCCCATGTCCTTCTTCTCTCTCCCCTCCTTTCTTTCCATATCCCTCCTTTTGTTTCATCTCGTGTGTTTATTTATCCTTTCATGTCACCTCTCCCCGTCCTCTCTCATCTCCTCTACTCTCCACTCTTACCTTCATTTTCTCCCGTCCTCTCTCCTAGAATTTACTCTCCTCTCCTCCATCCCTCCTACTCTCCCTCATCTCTTTCTTTTCGTTCCTTCCTCTCCTCTTTATTTCATTTTTCTTTAAATTTCTATGTTTTGTCTGCAATTGACTTATGTCCTTTATCCCTCCTTTAATCCTCCTCTTGTCTCCTCAACTCCCCTTTCCACTCATCTCCTTGACTCTTCTCCTCTCTCTTTGTCTCCTCTCCCTTTTCCTTCCATTCCTTGATGTATGTCCTTCATCCCTTCTTTAATCCTCCTTTGCTCTCTCCTGGCTTCCTCCCCTCTCCACTGCTTTTCTCTCCGCTGTCCTTGTCTACTCTCCTCTCTCCTTGTCTCCTCTCCTCTCTCCTTGTCTCCTCTCCTCTCTCCTTGTCTCCTCCCCTCACCACCCATCTCCTCTCCACTCCTCCCCTCCCCTTGTGTCCTCTCCTTGTCTCCCCACATTTCCTGTCCACTCTCCTCTCTTTTCCATTTCCCCTTCCATTTCTGTTTTGTCTGCCCTTGATTTGTTTCCTTTATCTCTCATTTAATCCTCCTCTTGACTTCTTAACTCATCTTTCCTTCCTCTCCTCTCTTCTTGTGTCTGCTCCTCTCTTCTCCTCTCTCATTGTCTCCTCTCCTCTCCCTCTCCCTTTTCCTTTCCGTTTTGTTTGCCCTTGATTTCTGTCCTTCATCTCTTCTTGAATCCTCTCCTCTCCTCTCCTCTCTCGTCTCCTCTTCTGGGCGCACATCCCCTCTCCCCATCCATCCGCGCCCCCGATGACAAACCGCGGTCCCCGCCCGGCTGCGCGCTTTGTGTGATGAAGGGACCGCTGTGAGGGGGAGCGCGAGTTATTGTGTGCAGTTAGTTGAGTGTGTCAGAGAGAGAGAGGGAGAGCGAGCGAGAGAGTGAGAGTCGAGCAGCGGGGACGGAGCGGCAGCACCGAGATCAGTTTTCTCTCCCACTCTCTCATTCTAACATCAGATGCTCACCTCCTCGCGTGGCCGGCACGAGAACACGAGGTAAGAGACATTCTCCCTAACACTTCTGCGCAGTTATTCTGCGTTTGGTGCGCCTTTGCTGTGCGCCTTTGCTCATGTGCGCTTGCACAGCCCCATGCGATCATCACCGGGCTGCTTGCTGACCGTGGCCGCGTCCGACCATGTGGAGCTGCTTTGTGGTGCCAAAAAAAACAAGACCACTGACAGAGCGCGTCTCCCTAGAAGTGTTGCAGTTGCTTTAAAGGCTGTAAATAGATGGCTATCTATAAAGATGTACATGAGAATATCCGCGTTGACAGCCAGTTGTCATAATCTGTGGAAAGATTAAAATATATTTAAACACGCTCGACATAATCATAATGTATCCGCGTTTGCGAGGCGTCTCTGTGTCCTACATTCCCCCTGAAGTTGTTTTGTAGGGAGCGTGAGTGAAATGCTAAGGATGTTGCGGGGATTTTTTTTTTGCGAGCGATGCACACGGGCCGCTTTCTTCCGAAGTGCCTCCCCGGCTTTAATGAGCGCCACAGCCCCGCGTGGCCCCAGAGGGAGTCCGTGCAGCCCTGGGACCGCTGGGACCGCGCGCCGCGGGTGGTGTTGTTCCTGCGCCGGAGATCAACAACACCAACCAACTCTTGGCGTTTGCGCTGGAGCTGCCTTCATTTATCGCGGAGAGACAGTTCACCACAGATAGCGGGGGATTTTTCTGATTCTGCTTATAATTTAATGAAACAAATGAAACATAAAAATATGAAGTAAACCGGTGAGGATATCAAACGTCTCCTAAATTAAAATATTTTGAAGCCGCCGCTTCGTTGGTGGTGAAACAACTATATGAGGTTGTAGTAAATCAAAGATGATCACAATGCGCCTCTTGCCATGCGTCAAGTCAACAGGAATAAACACGCAACTTCCGGTTGAACTTTCAAAAATAAAAACCGTGCAGATAAACAGTTTATGGGAGTTGAACGGAAACGCACGTGTTGTTTTTTTTAAGACTGACTTTGGTCAAATGTTTTGCATAATGATTGTATTTCCTTGTTGCACATCGTCTCTGTCAATAACCAAAATACATTTCTGTAACCAACGAAATGTAGCAGTCCGGAAACACACTGTGTGGATCAGGGGCGTTTCTAGGATTGAAAGACAGGGGGGGCTTAGCCCCAAGGGGAGTGGCATGTTTGTGGATAGGCAATTTGTTTTGGGGCCCATTTGGGGCCGTGGATATCCATTGTTTCAGACAGTTCATAGATTGGTTCAATCAGAAAGAGTGTGATTTTGCTATGTAGTTTTGCTTGCATTCAGTATATGATAACACAAGAGACAGAATTTCAGGGTCATAGTGAAATTTGACAACACAAATATGAACTTTTCTCAAATAAAGAGAGAGAAATAATTTTCCTGCTTGTAAAGGAAAGACGGATAAACTAGCTCCCAAATCCTAATTCTTAAAGGGACCGCACACAATGGATGGAGAGTGGACCTGACAGTGTGAACTTTATATCGTTAAGTATGATGGTAGGCTGTTGGATTGTAATTTGAAGGGGGAGAAAACATACAAACCAGAACGCACACACATATGTAGCATGTTAGAGTTATAAATAACTTGTCCATGTGAGTAACAATGGTTTAATTTAATAAATAAAAAAATAAAAAAAGATTATTTTTAGGGGGGCTTCAGCCTAACGAAAATAGGCCTAACGACGCCCCTGGTGTGGATGCATATAATATGGAGGCTGCATTCGGATTATGCCTCTGTGTTACAGAATGAAAAGCTTTTATCTTGAAAGCTACTTTGCTCATCTTCCGGTTTCCCGTTGTCTCTTTCTGTCCACCTTGACGCAGCAGTGTTTTGTCCGGGCAGGGCTTTCTGCTCAGCAGGTTGGGTTGGCTGTATGATGTTCCATAACCCGACTACGGGATCACCTCCACCCCTCCTCCATCCACCATCATCTCACCAGACTCCATGTCATTTTTCACCGTTTTAACTTGACCGAGTCACTGCAGGTTTCCAACGACTTTATTAATGTTGTAGTTGAGCACAATATATGGAGGAAATATTAAATAGATATAAAACACAGAATCTTCATGCATTTACATGCAAATATTGCACCTTAATGTGTTTTTAATTGACATCAGATTATGAAGTGAACATGTGTTCATTATGGCCATTTTTTTATTTTTTTTTTTTAATATACATTTTTTTGTTATCATTTAGCCCCGGCTTAAAGGCAGGTCTACTGGATACAGTGAAGGATGCCCAGCTCTTGATTCTTAATGTAGAATAATAATATATATAAGGGCCGGGCTGCAGCGTGCGGGCTGCAGAGAAAGTAGAGAAGTGGGATCCTCCTCCTGTGCACAGAAGCTGCAGTGGGACTTCCCAGGGCTTTTCCTCTCTCTCTCTATCTCCCTCTCTCTGTCCCTGCAGTTTTTTCCCGGGGCTTCCCTTGTTTTTCCTGCACCAGCCTTCCGCCCAGCCCCTCTCTGTCGATGGGGCCGGGCTACTCCCCTCCCTCCATCCCTCCATCCATCTATGAAGGGAGAAAATGCTGTAGGATACAGATGCAGCAGCAGAACGAGATGTTGAATGTTTGGAAAAAGAACACAGGAGAAACACAGGAGAATGCTGTTTGAGTTCCATGAAAACTAAGGACTTTTGTTGCCTAAACCTAACCAAGTACTTTAGTTTTGATTTCATTTGTAGTCATTTTAAGCTAAACCGTGATGTAACCAAACAGTCGTTGATATCCCATGATTTTTTTTTGTCGTACGTTATCCACGTAATCTTGAACAAAGACATATAAAGACTGTTGAATCACACCCCGTGCAGGCGAGCGGGACGGGAGGTGGATGGGTCCAACAAACGGCGATCTTTCAGCCAAGAGAGTGTGAAACGAGAAATTATTGTTGATGTTTTTGTAACTTGCCTATTTCAGTAACGGCACATCCGTAGTTATTTGAACCCAAACGACGATCTATTCCTAAACCTAAGAACTGAGTTTCCTATCCAATCAAGCAGTTTTTGTTGTTGTTGTTTTTTGTTTCAATTTACAACGTTAACCTCGTGTTTCAAACTGTTTCAAAATGCGACCGTGACCTATGAGAAACGTAACTACAAGTGCAGTTAAGTTGGATGGAACGTAATGTTATTGTTGACATGGTTGGAAATACAGGCTGTCCATACAATCAAACTTCTTTTTTGCAACCAGAGGAGTCGCCCCCTGCTGGCCAATACAAATAATGCAAGTTTAAGGCACTTTGGCATCGGCTTCACTTTTCAGCCTAACCTTTGCCGCCTCTTCGTTTTATTTTACTTCTGGTGATTTCATCGGCGCTTCAAAAATCAAAAAAGTGGTGTTCATTTGTAAAGATTATCTTGTTGAGCTAACCGTGTTATTTTCTGCATTGGCCCGTTGTTGAGGGAACCAGTGTGAAGCTAACTTCTTCGGTTGTCCTACATAAACACGTCATCCTGCGGTGCACTACACAGCTACTGCAGCAGCCGTTTGTCCCTCGGGGAATGTTTTAGGACTCAGAGTCATGTTAAATCAAACTCATTGCACAGTGTGTTCTTCTGTGGTTCGATTAGGACACTTTTGCCTTTCCGTCCTCTGGTGTCTGGCATTAGCTTGTACGGCCATTTTTAGAACTCCAGCAACATCTTCCGAGCACTAGTGCTGCTTTACCTTTCCTATTGGCTGATGGATTATTCATTAGCACTCCTCCTTCCTCTCCTCCATAACGCTCCCTGTCTCTTTCCTCTCCCCCCGTCCTCCACATGGTTTCCCTCTCTGTCGTGTAGATTTCACTGTAAGGCGTTTAGCAGATTCTCACACAGAGAGACATATGTCCCCTTTTCGCTGCATCCTCTAACCTCTATTTACCCAGCAGGTGTTGTGCCGCTCTTTCATCACCGCCACACTTCACATGCGTACATTAACAAATCACACTTGGGAAAAGCTCAGGCACAACCACAGCTCCTGCATTGCTGGCTGCTGTGTCGGGCTGTTACATAATGTTATGTTCCTCAGCTCGGCTGTTAAAGTGATGATCTGCAACATCTTGATAGAATACAATATTACCAAGCTTATGATTTAGCAGAAAGCCACTTCATGAAAGCTTTCCCATCCGTGAGCTGATGTGATGAAGTGAGCATAGACTGTATGAGTTCGGCACTTTGGCCGTCTCCATCTTCTTATGGTTACGACCTGTTAATCACGAGGTAGCCCCGCCCTAAAGCATACTCTGCTTTATGGTCTATTTGACTCTAAATGGACCATCATTTACTAAATGAACATCATGCTGTATTGAAGAAGACTTGAAACTAGAGATTGAGACCATAAACTCATGTTTACAATGTTTACTGAGGTGATAAATCAAGAGAGAAGTAGAGTCATTTCCTCAAAGACTTCTATACAATCGGAGGAGTCGCATTTCCGCATTGGCTTCACTCTTCAGTACTAGAGGTTGCTGCCTGGAAGTGATGCATTCAGTGTCTTTGTAATAAGCAGACAAAGTAAATGTAAAGTTAGCATGAAAAAGTGATGCTTAGGAACTCAAAAGACATCAATGGAAAGTGGCTCTTTGAACCACCAATGTTTTATAGCTGCAACAATGTATCAATTGGTCGATCAGCCATCAGGCAACTTTTTTGATAATCTTTGTTTGTTTTTTAATCATCATTTAAGTACCTTCTCCATGTTATCACATCTCTTGAATTTGCTGCATTTGTTTATTGTTCTGAGATTATAGGAAACTGAACACTATTTTGTTTTGGACTGTTGCTGGTACACATCAAGAGCTATGAGAAAGTCACCTTATGATCTAGGAAATTATCTCATTTTCACTGTTTTCTAATGTTTTATTGACAAAAAGATGAGTCAACTCATTGAGAAAAAAAATCATCATGTTATTGTTATGTTGCAGCAAAATGTTTGGATTGGTAATGGTCACTGTCTGTTGGTCCTCGTTCAGTTTGCTGAGATGCCACCAAAATGTTCCAGAGTGGTGATACTTCGCGG